ATTGTGGACGGGTTAAGCTACAGTAAAATCATCCTACAGAGTTTGGTTTCGAAGCCCGTTTTAGTGAGGCTTAACAGAATAAACACGATATTACGCAGACATTTGACAGGGATCACTAAAAGCCTTCACCAGTGGCCTTGTGCCACTCCAGACCACTTCTCGAAAACTAGCGGAAGTTTCGAAACGACCAGATCGTGGTTCGTATCCAAGTAATCATTTATTTCTTATATTGTTGTACTGAGATTCTAATAATGTTTAGATATTTGTAGGTTGAATTTATCTAAAATATCCAAAGAAATTATACGTATACGCATGTTGAGATTGAGGAGCGTGTAAACTTACTGAACACATGTTGTTCTTAAATGCGGTTTTACTAGTGATATAAAACATAAAAACCATAAATGATATAAAACATTTTACAGGAAGACAAAGCTACTTGAACATTTTGTTAGCAACGTTGACAACACGCCTGGGGTCGAGGCGAATTACGGCCAAAAGATAGAATATGAAGTTTGCTTTCAAACACACGACAAATACGACTGGTACTACAATTGTGACTTCAATTCGCAATATTCGCAATGTCACTATACACTAAAGCTTTATAAAGTATTGGTTGTTTGTAGTATCGTAAAAAAAAACCTATAAATGTATTTGTTTAAAAATACTTAAATTACTGATTGACTACTGACTACTAAGAACGACAAACAACTAAGAGAGTATTTTACTGATTGACAAAATGACTACTAATAACTACAAACAACTAAGAGAGTATTTTAAATATTATGTATTTGTATAGCCCATTTTGAAAAACGAGGCCAATAAGACTTATTCATTATCCATACCCTTGAAAAAAAAAACTTTGTTCTATTTATAAGAGCATAATTATTAAAAAAATTTCGTCAAAACTTTGACGTCTATTAACATAGATATTAATTTGAAAAATGAATAAATAAACGCAAAAAATTTCCTTCTACACTTTATTAGTTTTAACACTTTATTAAACTAAATATTGAGCTTAAAACAACAGATTTTCGATATTTTCCCAATCATTTTTTCTTCCACCAGATACTTTTTCATTAGCAGTGATTCTTTTAAAACAGTCACTATATGACAGTGAAAAATGTCATACAATACAAGATAATTAACATATCCATCTATTTTGTACAAGCATTGATAACCTTTATAGTAAAAGTAACGTAATTGTAATACTAAATAATTTCAGTAGATGAATTAAATCATTTGTTAAATGGTTTATCTTGCATTAATTTGCAGCTATTAATAAAAAAATCTCTCTGATCTTAAAAACTAGCTATAGCTATTTTACAACTATTTATGACAAAAACATCCCTGTTGCAGATTTATTTAACTTTTAACCTCGAGAGGAAATCGTCTGCGGAAGGCGCTGCTCCATTACCCAGCCTGGATTGGTGGCTCCACTCCCCCCCCCCCCCCACGATCAGCCCCTTATCGTCCCTGTAGATTATTGTTGGGGTTGATTTCTTACAGAGATGATGTGAATTATTCATTACAGAAACTTAGTCAATTTTAGCTTCTAGCTCAACTGTTTTGTTGGGCTATAGTTTTTAAACGTAAAATAATGCAAAATGAGGCGCACTCTGACTAGCTTAGTCTTATTTCCCCTATTTTTCCACTAAAAATCTTTATAATTGTTTCTACTATTTATAATTCAATAGTTTTGAACTGTATGTTCTTTAAAAGGAAAAATTTTACTGCTAAATATATGTGTTCCTACCACATTTTCATATAGTTGGTAATTACCAAGTTACAAAAATTAAAATGATAACCATTTTGAATGTTTAAAGTAGACAAACTCAATTTTATATCAAATATTGTTTTCTCCTACCTCAAAATACTTACCAAGTTTCATTATGATCAGTTGGAATATTCAAAGACAAAAATGTTCATGTAAAAAAAATGGAGAATATATGGTTAACAAAGCATTTAGGGAAAACGTAATTCTTGATTTTTCTCTTTATTTTGACCCATAGAACCATTTTCCGGAGTTTGGCTATAAACGTACTTGGAACACCGTATATGTGATTGGATTGTACCGTAATTAACTTCGATTTGATGTGCTAAAGCTCATTCTCTGGTTACAAGAACAATGTTTACAGTGTAAAACCTATTATTATTTCCTTGTAACTTGAACTCTGCCGCGAGGTATGTGAACGGATGAGTACTTTGCCTGGCAGAGTCACAAAGACATTGTATGATTCCACGAAAAGTCGTTTGACATCAGCTCAGGTACAAAATTCCTAGTTATGACATATTTCAAATATTTACGGCTTTTAGGCATTGCTTAAAACATTGACTATGCACTAAATCTTTATAAAGTATATTGGCAACATTTAACTATAAGAGAAGGCAACACAAGTGTCCTATAGTTATATTTTGTTTGGTAGTAAAAAAATGTTTCAATCTACCAGACAATAAGTGTTAATAAATAAATTTTTTTCTGCTGGTATTGTAAAGTAAAGACAAGAGTAGTATATTAAAAAATTTTAAATAGGTATTTTGTTTTAATAAAGCTTTCTGCAATCATGTTTATTTTTAGATTTACTAATGAATTCCAATTCTGGGAAATATTGCAGTTACTTTGATAGAAACTATTTCCGAAACTAAAGGTTTAATGTCGTCGTTAATTACTTTTTTGTGTTACATTACACTTTACAAATACATTTCTTTGCTAAGGTTGGATTAATTACTGTATACTATTATTATCCTAAGGTTATTATTGACATATTTTAAATAATTTGCTTTTAAAATTGTTTGATCGTACAAAACTAAAAAGCTACGTCATGAATTTATAATAACGATTTCCATATTCTGTTTGAATTGTCTTATAACTTGTCATGATTAACCAATATGTCCTTTTTTAAAGTAACGATAATTAAACTAATAGTATTATTCTGAAGATGTCCTTTGTAAAATCTCATGGTATAGTACCAGGAGAGGTTGTGATAACATAATGACGTGATCATTGCCCTGTCACGTGGGTAAATCAACCAGTATGTAGTTAGTCAAATCTGTTTAAAAAAATAAAAGAGGTGTGCTAAATATATAATAATAGATCAAGAGCCCGAGATGCCCTGAAGGGCAACGCGTAATTCTTCGATGTGGGGCCCTGATGGATTGAATGTAAGGCTGCTGCCACCTAACCACACTGTTTAATCTATCAAAAGATAGAACCATCTTAAATAATCTTAACTTTTTTCAGCTTAGAATTCCACGTAATAATCATTCAACGAAATATTTCAAGTAAATATGCATCACAGTTGCACAACGATTACACATGACAATTTGTAATAAAACTAAAGAAGGCGGTGATTTTTTCTTAGTTTTGTTTAATATTTTAATTGCTACCAGGCAAAATACTGGTAGTATTTTGGAATTTGGAATTGGGGGAAAGAACACTTAATGGAAATCTAGTCCATTTTGTTTGAACGATAAGTGGGTGGTCAACTTTCTGTGCCTTTAACAAATCTTGGTTTAGTGCAGTTTCGATAGGTTGTTCTTTTTTCTGTTGGCAATTCTGTGAAAATGAGACATCAAACTATCTTTGTTCTGTTCAGATTTCTCTGCATCACTTCAAAATAAGAGTTCTTTCCGTAAACTTTGCACTAATGCTGAGTTTTCCCTGTTTGATGCTTGAAAAACTTTGAAGTAGCGATATACTTTCCATTGACCGAACTTTATCTAAAGAAACGATTTACTAAGAAAATTCTTATCAAGATTCTATTTTATTCTACAACGTTTCCGATCTACTAACTAATAATTAATAAGTAACAAGGTGTTTTATTGATAAAGATCCCTACAGTGAATGTTGGTGAAAATAAAATATTTGCTTTGAAATTCACTTATATTTTTATTTACAAAACATATGTAAAATCTAAAAATAATTAACGCTTTTTCACATTGATAACAACACTGTTGGTGAGTCGAAGTGTTTAACAATGTTAAATATTACGGGTTGCATGCAAATTCTGTTTTTTAATTCTGACACAACATGTTCAAATTTAGTACATTAAGACATTATATTGTCTTGGCCAAAACTTATTATCAAAATAAATACAAAAATACAAATTTTACATTGGCTTTGATATTGACACATTTAGACATTTAAAAAAGATTTGTCCTTTTATGCAACAATTAGTAATTAGAAATGTGGTACACGCAAGAAAATAATGGAACTTGTTGTCTGTACATATCGTTCGTAGAACATGAATATTGTTATAATACGAGTATTATTTCAATTAATATGATGTGTTTCGTTTATGCGCCAACAACCTTGAACATGTAATATATTGTAGAATTCATTTTATTGCTCTTTGTACTACGTTAGTTTTTTTTTACATTAAAATTATTATTAATCTCCTTTAATAAACAAAATATTTATTACAATTTGTTTTTATTGCCATGTAGTATTATTTTTGATTGCATAGTTTGTGTCTTATATCATCTATATATAAACTTAAGATTAACAGTAATCCCAATTAACATAAGCATAAGATTGATTTTGAATCTTATTAAAGAAAGTGATTGTTTATTTTTAAACCATACGAATTATGACTTTTAAATAGTTAGCGTCATATTTTTATAATATGAAATCAAAATCTTCTCTTTATCGTTATATTCTTTAATGACTACCCTTAGCTCTTGCTTATTACATTGACATCTATCAACAAAATAATTCGAGTTAAAATTTGATTTTTATAATAAAAAATTAAGATACAATACATTAATATAAAATACATTTTGACAGTTATTTGATTGATTTGTGAAATTTTATGTTTTTTGATAAAACTTGCGACTATCACAAACTGTTCACAGGAGAAGAACATCAAAATATAAATAATGTACACAATAGAGTTTTACTTAGATTCATGCGGTTAATGATCGTGGATACAGTCATCATACATATTTTTTACACAAATATATATATTCCTTAGTTTATACATATATATTTACCATTTATAGTATTTACAGAATAGTACCAAACTCATGCTTTTGTATCAGGTAAAATGTGTAAAGAATATATTACAAAAATAGTCACATTTTCATTGTAACAAACGTATTAAAACTTATTAATGTTACAAAATCTTAAAAAAGGTATCGTTATTACAAGTTGTTTTCCAATACAAAATATAGTCCACTATAAACCTAGCTTTTCCATTAATTTAAAATTTTATTGTAGACAAACCATGATACAAATTCTAAATCATATGAGTTAATGGACAGTTTATCTTGTGCTATTCTCTATCTTCCAATGATCCACATTATAGACCTGAAATAAAACAAACTTAATCAGATGAACACAAACCCTTAACAACGCTACTTGTAATCATTACTAGATTCCCACACAAACGTATTGCAATTAAATACAAGTTATAGAATTATGAAAATACAAAATATATAGAAATGATTGCTCACCAGATGACCGTCATATGTGCGGGAGGGAGACAGAGCCTGCGTTGGCGTCGTTGGTGACACTAGACATCATTGTAGTGGCACATGCATCCTCTGGAATCACAACTTCTGTTGGTAAGTGAAAGTAAAAATCACCAAATTCATGGCACTGACTAAAATCATTAACTTTTGCATCGTGGCAGTGGAATTAGCCCAGTTCAAATGTATGCAAGTTTACTTTAACCACTAACGCATTATTGTCTGCATTACAGAGAGAATTAATTGGCCCCCAAATGTCCAACTGAAGCTTTACTGCATAATATTACTGTGGGAGTAAGAGCTGCCATGAACCATAGTTACGCATTAAACTTGCCATAACGTACCACTTAGGAATCTAGATTTCGTTAACATCCTATAAGACCCATATACTGTTGACTTAACTACAGCCGCTCAGTACTACTACATACATACTTTCTCGATTGCAGCCGTTGCCGTAGCGTCTGCCAGAGTGGCGGCGGCCAAACATCCTCGCCAGGTAGGACCCAGAGCCCTGGGAGGGGTGGGAGTGGCGATGGTGGGGGAACATGTTGAGAGGGAGGGAAGCAGCACGGGCCCTCCACAGTGGCAACCCTCTCCACTGCTTTCCGATCTCAGACCTCACTTCACCATTCAGAATACAGTACAGGATCGCAACAAGGAACCCCTGTAATGATAAGCTTTGTTTCAATCAATCGTAACAATAAATTTAAATAATTAATTTAGTTAGACTGGGGAAAACAAACATCAACTTAAAAGAACAGATTATCGTTAGGGGTTTTTTAACCAAAGAATTATTGAGCCTTGTTTGTATTCTCCCTACCCATCGCTGCCATTACTTTTACCTTCTGCCACAAATATCTCGCCCTCGATCATTGTCGAATGGTTATTGCAACACAGTAAGCAGTCAGCTCACGAAGTCATCTGTTTCCGCCTAAGCCCTTTCTGGTTTGATTTATACCAACTGGTTAAAATCTGTAATATCGTATTTCTTATCAAGTGTCTTACCTAAGTGTATAGTAATAGTTTTATCTTTTATCGTAAATAACTTTTGCTTAAACCACTAAAATGTGTTCAAAGTTATTGTTATGAAATTGTTAAACGCCTCAGTTGATGCTTTCATACTGGATTTAATTAAATATATCGTTCACTATTAAGTTTCATGATTAGAAAAATTGTTTTAATTTGTTGATTAACTAAACACGAACCGATTAGTTGAAGGGGGTGGGTTGTAAATACTTTACAGTTGATGAATATTTTAATCCACATACCTGAAACGACGTAAATAGTTGGTCAATAAAGAGCCAGACGATCTCAACGTTCTCTTCCACTCCGATGTAGGACATAATGAGGAACACGATGTAGTGGACCCCGAACAGCGGAACCAACACCAGCGTGGACTTTGCCCATCTCCTGTACACACGGAACACACTGGCAAACACACGTCGTACTCGTTAGTGTCACAACTGACACACTACTACTGTAACAAGTAGTACGTGCCTCAAAAGCAACATTGGACGTAAGAGTGATTTCAAACAAAAATAATGAAATACACACATTTACGCCGTAATACCAAACACAAGTTGACAAAATCAATCGAAACCTTGAGTGATACAGTCTGGCAAACTCAGGTAAAAAATATAGCAACTAGCACACACACTAAATTCTATACCAAGGCCAAAACTTCATATTACACATATAGAGTCTCCCAATGCAGCATATAGTGTAAACAAGACACACATATTACACATTGTACTCGCATACCTCACTTCTCTGTGGCACGAAAAAGATTCACAAACATAACACGTCGTAGGTTTTTTGCAACAACAAAAAACACATTCTAAATAAAACAAACAAGTACACACTACACAGTGTAGATGAGGGCCTTACAAGCAGAACACAGAGGGCCTGTGTAGTAGTTATTGGTACAAACAAAGACTAAAACAAACAAGGAAATGTTGTACACAATTGTGTTGTAAAGCCATACAAGCAACACATTGTGTAGTTGTAAGTGATAAAAACGGACACTAAAATAAACAAGGAAATGTTGCATATTAAAGTAGTAAATCCATACAAACAACACAAGGTGTAGTTGTAAGTGATACACACAGACACTAAAACAAACAAGGAAATGTTGTACACGATATTAGTAAAGCCATACAAACAACACAAGGTGTAGTTGAAAGTGGTACAAACGGACACTAAAACAAACAAGGAAATGTTGTACACGGTAGTAGTAAAGCCATACAAGCAACACATGGTGTAGTTGTAAGTGATACAAATAGACACTAAAACAAACAAGGAAATGTTGTACACGATAGTAGTAAAGCCATACAAACAACACAAGGTGTAGTTGTAAGTGGTACAAACGGACACTAAAACAAACAAGGAAATGTTGTACACGATAGTAGTAAAGCCATACAAGCAACAAACGGTGTAGTTGTAAGTGATACAAATAGACACTAAAGCAAACAAGGAAATATTGTACACGAGAGTAGTAAAGCCATACAAGCAACACACGGTGTAGTTGTAAGTGATACAATCAGACACTAAAGCAAACAAGGAAATATTGTACACGAGAGTAGTAAAGCTATACAAGCAACACACGGTGTAGTTGTAAGTGATACACACGGACACTAAAACAAACAAGGAATTGTTGTATACGATAGTAGTAAAGCCATACAAGCAACACAAGGTGTAGTTGTAAGTGATACACACAGACACTAAAACAAACAAGGAAATGTTGTACACGATAGTAGTAAAGCCATACAAACAACACAAGGTGTAGTTGTAAGTGGTACAAATAGACACTAAAACAAACAAGGAAATGTTGTACACGGTAGTAGTAAAGCCATACAAGCAACACATGGTGTAGTTTTAAGAGATACACACAGACACTAAAACAAACAAGGAAATGTTGTACACGGTAGTAGTAAAGCCATACAAGCAACACATGGTGTAGTTGTAAGTGATACAAACAGACACTAAAACAAACAAGGAAATGTTGTACACGGTAGTAGTAAAGCCATACAAGCAACACACGGTGTAGTTGTAAGTGATACAAACAGACACTAAAATAAACAAGGAAATGTTGCATATTAAAGTAGTAAATCCATACAAACAACACAAGGTGTAGTTGTAAGTGATACACACAGACACTAAAACAAACAAGGAAATGTTGTACACGGTAGTAGTAAAGCCATACAAGCAACACACGGTGTAGTTGTAAGTGATACAAACAGACACTAAAACAAACAAGGAAATGTTGTATACGATAGTAGTAAAGCCATACAAGCAACACAAGGTGTAGTTGTAAGTGATACACACAGACACTAAAACAAACAAGGAAATGTTGTACTAGATAGTAGTAAAGCCATACAAACAACACAAGGTGTAGTTGTAAGTGGTACAAATAGACACTAAAACAAACAAGGAAATGTTGTACACGGTAGTAGTAAAGCCATACATGCAACACATGGTGTAGTTTTAAGAGATACACACAGACACTAAAACAAACAAGGAAATGTTGTATAAGATAGTAGAAAAGCCATACAAGCAACACATGGAGTAGTTTTAAGAGATACACACAGACACTAAAACAAACAAGGAAATGTTGTATACGATAGTAGTAAAGCCATACAAGCTACACATGGTATAGTTGTAAGTAAATACAAACAGAAACTAATCCAAACGAGTTAAAATAGCAGATGATAGAAAATTTGTTCTGTTAAAAAAGCATATTTTTAGAGAATTAATTAGTAATAAAATCAAAATTATTTCCCATTTAGAGTGAACCATGACCCAGCTTTACAGCCTTTCTTACGGACAGTAAATTTTTATTCCACGTTGTTCAAGTTTATATTTCATACTTGACATTTGTTAATTAAGAAATTTTTTATTTGGTCCCAATTGATTTTCATAACAATAGTTTTGTTATTAAAACAAATTAAACGCAATGTATGTTCTGATAAATTGGTGTTGCCATGTGTTTTCTGTATAAGTAGGTTGTTTTATAACATTTCAAAGAAAGTATCATGCTTATTACCTGTACCTAAACCTGCGTGATTCCTCTGATATTGCAGCCATCAGTTTTGACAACAGAAGCCTCACGATATTTATAAATAGGACGAAGTTTACCTGGAATATAATACATGTAAGTGATTGTACTAAACATTAGTAGGAGTGAATGTGATTTTCAAATGAGTCACTCACAATAAGGACACCATGTGTGTATGTGTATATTAGTAAGCTTAACCATTTATTATTGTAATTATTTCAAGACTTAATGTCTGCCGTAACTAGACATTTTGATTATCTGGATGAGTATTATATTCCTTCTACGAAATATACTGTTACGAAATATATTATTTGGACGCTATTGTTACAGAGTTTTTAAAACTGTCAAAGAACAAATGTGGCAAATAATGTATACTTTGACGTATAAAATATTAACTAGTTATGATCTGTATTAATGAGCATTAACAACATTGTAGGATAGATCAGCATTGCATGTAGAAATGTAAAATGCTAACACGTTATACCATTTTTAAACTTTCCTTACGGCTTTAGTTTAGGTAAGACCGATAGAAAGTTTTTAAACCAAGTCAGTTTTAAAACAAATACTAACATTTTAACCGGGATAATTTAGATTTTATTATCATAAAAGGTCTGAGAGTAATGGAAAGTTCTTAAATTATTAAATTTATTATGGCACTACTTAATAAAATATGTATACATTTGTTCACAAGTAACCACGCAAATGTTTAGAGCTTTCTATTTTTTCAGTTTATTAATATTCTGAATCACCCTCATAGCATTCGCAATATTACTATAACCAAAGAATAATATCAGAACGGAGACAAGTAGGCAGAGACCTCTGTTATTGTAAACGCAAACTTCCTCCAAATACCTTAATAGTATCAGAGTAAAGTGTGAGCCAAAAGTTTACTAAGTTTGTTTTCCTGCCACTACTTTCCAATAACCTAAGTTTTAAAAGTGGATAAACGTTTGGGCTCGGTCCAATATAACACTCCAGGATTTTGCTATGATGAAGCGCCCCAGCTTCACCCCACTGTAGTTTGCAAGCCATGTTGTTCTCAATTCCAATTGTTGATGAAAGGTTTATGATATCGGAATTCCCGCTGTACGCAGCCCTTTTGATGCTTACAGTTTCAACACAAGGTATTTGGTGCACTAGGAATATCAGTAATTTTGTTAAATATCTTGCAGATCATAAAATGATAACGGTTATACTATACATTTACTGTATGATACCAGACAAAAAGTCTGTAGTATTTAACAGTACTATTGGAACAAAAAAGTTTGCTTTGACATGAAACGAATATTTACAGTAATTCATATGACAAATCTAAATAAAACGGTATTATTTTTGATTGCTCACTAACATATCAACATACATACAATAAACCTCTTATTGGGGTTCTCTGTAAAATCCTTTACCACCTGTCCTACTAAACCAATTATAACGATTTACTTATTTCCTAGAAGAAAAAAATTAAACACAAAGCCTTTAATTTGTTTCTAGAGGGTGGTTTAAAAGGTTTAGCTAATGCTAAAGCAGCTTATACCAGTATAAAATGTAAATTAGTAATTTACAAGCTGATTACATTCATAACTCCAATAAATTTTTTTAACGACAGTCAATTTCAAATAGGTAAAATGTTATGAAAATTAAATTCAAATTGGCTTCGGTACTTTATTTATATTTTTCTGATTGAAATGGCAAATCACTCTTAATAACCTATACAGTATCTAAAAACGACGTGATTCAGATACTGTAAATTAGTAGATTTATTCTTATAATAATTGTCTAAAAACATTCGCGTTATTTTTATTTTCATATCGAGATGTTTTCTTGAGTGTTTAAAGGCATTTCATTATTCAATAAGCCCTGAAACAAGGTATTTAAAAATTTGAATTGCTGAAATGGGTGCTTTTTCGCCCAATCAAATTTTTATATACCTACCATTTTGGCTAGGGGTGACATATAGACTTCGGGTTTGCACCATTGCTTATGTCTTGACAAACCCTTCAAAATAAGGGGTCACTCAATAGGATGTTTAATTTTTTTTTTTAATAAGTCACCCCACCAGCTACACGGTTAAGGGGGTTAAAATATATTTGTGATGTAAACAATTGCGGATCGTTTGTTAAAAATAAATGCCACAAACAGAATATTTCTATCTATTTCTGTTAAAAAATGCAGATTTGTTCCATAGATGTGAAATTTGTGCTATTTCACATTAATAAAACTTTGGGATACCTGCCATTTTGACTAGGGCTGAGATATCCACTTCGGGTTTGCGACGTCGTGATTCTTTTGATAACCCCTTCAAAATTATGGGTAACTCAATAGGGGTAGCTATTTGAAAAAAAAGTCACCCCTACCCCCTACCCTGTCAGGGAGGTTAAAACATATTTTTAATGTAAAAAATTGCAGATCCTTTGTTAAAAATAAATGCCACAAACAGAATATTTCTACCTATTTTGGTAAAAAAAATACAGATTTATTTCCATAATTTTGAAATTGTTGCTTTTCACAATTATAACATTTTGGAATACCTGACCTTTTGTCTAGGGGTGAGATATCCACTTCGGGTTTGCGTCATTGTATTTATTTTGACAATCCCTTCGAAATGAGGGGTGAGTAAATAGAGGTTGCTATTTGAAAAAAATAAGTCACCCCTACCCCCTACCCTGTTAGAGGGATTAGCACATATTTTGTATGTAAAAGATTACGGATCCTTTGTTAAATCAATGCCACAGACAGAATATTTATCTCTATTTCGGTGTAAAAATACAGATTTGTTTCAATACTTAATTTACACACTGTATAATTACAACAAATGAATTAGGTGATCAAATAGCCCTTCAATACAAATAGCAAGATACAAAGTATCATGTATCTAATTACCAGGATAGAGACGGTAGTGGGGACCTTGATGAGCAAGAAATAGTTAGGGTTGTTGTTGGTTGTCCAGCACAGGGTGTTCTCCCACAACATTCGAACAATCACCCAGGGCATGACGAACAATAGAGGCAGACCTGCAACGTAGAGTCTAAGGGTCATAACTTTGTCATCTTACCTACTCATTAATAGTTTAGATTTGCTAAATCACTTACAACAGTCTAATAAGTAATATTTCGTATTGTGGTTGAATTTATTTAGAACTAATTTATATCTATTTACAACGTGTAAATCATTATAATCTATTACTTTCTATAATTGTAAACGTTTGTCAAAAGCTTTAATATTATACAACTATGTATTAACAATGCAATACCTACCCCACCCTAGGACAACGTATACAGTGATGGCGGATGTATCGGAGAATACCGCTAGGAATATGAGGTTGTGAAGGTAAATGCCTTCCATCAGAATCCACGAGTAGTTGACCATGATGAAGTATTGCCAGAGACTCATGATCAACTTGCATTGCCAGTTTTGCTAGACACAACAGTAACATTAATTTACGTAGGACAAATTATAAATGCTGCGTAGGGTGATTTTAATAAAGGATGCAATACGGCTAGAAGATAAAATACCATATTGTTTTAATTGAAGTTAGGCTGATTTTGTTAATATTCTGTTTATTACCTATAACAAACAAAAGGATTTTCCATATCTGTTTAGCAAGATCTCACTATGGATTTCCTGTATGCAGCATGTACCTCATTCTCATGCAAGAAGTAAGCTTCTCCCTCCCAGAAGGCGAGGTCCGAAGGCAGGCCGACTCCTCGTACAAACAACGCGTCCTTCAGCAGAGTGGTGAAGGCGCGCATCATGAACGACACGAACAGATGCATGTGCAGCTTGTTGCGGGGACAGCGGAGTTTCCTGACAACCGAGGAAGACGTCACACATGGGATGGTAACAATTGTAATAATGTAATATTGTTTAGAATTAGACAATATTGAGGTAAGTTATAACAAATGCTGTACTGTAGACCCTTGGGGGAGCAAGCTGGTCTAGTGGTTAGAGTTCGGGACTTCGGTTCCTGAGGTCCCGGGTTCAAATCCCGCCAAATCTTCAATGGATTTTATCTAAGTGATAATGCCGCAACCCCTAGGTCTAGCCTGAAGTAATGTGAAAAACATCATAGGACGCTCGTGATTAGCGTCCTAGGAAAAACATGTTAGACCCTTGATGACTATCAATATAGTTTCATTTAAAAAAATAATACATTAGAACATTTACGGAATTAAAAAAAAATATCATCATACGAATAATTGAAGAGCGGAGTAATGAAATTAACTAAGAGAAATAAAACTTTGGATTGTGTTGTAGGAGTAAAGTGTGACACCTTATATTTTCTTGATTTAACTTGAACGAGTAAAATCCTTTATTCAAACAAAGATTGTTTTGAAATTATTTTGAGTCACGATTTACCAAGTATAGAGTCAAGGCCTCGCGATAAATTGAATATGTATAGATTAAAAATGTGCTTGCTTTTTCGTGCCTGACTTGACGTTTCAAAGTCAAGTATAAAAACCAGATAGTACTGACCCTAATTAGAACTGTATTTTAAACCAACTACCATCCGTATACAAAGCAGACCCATAGATACACAACAAAGAAGCTGCAATAATTTAGAATGTTTAAGTATCTTTGATTATACATGCGGATTATACTTAGCTTTTCTTCACAATAAAATAATACATTTCTCAAACGTCCTTTTACGTTTTTATCATCCATGTTAGTAGTTAGAAGTCCAGATAGAGACATTGACGTACTTGTAACGAGTCTGGGACACCAGTTCCTCCGATCAGAATAGCAATCTGTTATTTCCTACACTAGATGCTATTGAAAGCTCACTTCATCAGGAGATATGTTTGTTACAAAGGATTTAGGCTACTAGCCAATTTGTACAACTTTTCTGTTCGTATTTAGAACATTTTTCGAATGATCCGTGTTTAACTTATTCACTATTTACTTACAACCAATATTTACAGATTTGATCTAAATGGAATATAATTTTTATCAAATAAAAGATTTATTCATTAAAGATGTACTGTAGCAAGAATCAAAGCTGTGACATAGTAAAAAGGTTTTAATAAATATAAAGAGTATGAAATATATATTTGTTATAAGTATACATGAAATATAAAAAAATGTATGACAAGCGAGGTTATATACGACCTCCCATCCACTATGAACATTATTTTTGACATTTGGCTCTAGGTTTTAAATGAATACAGTAGATACAATAAACATTAATGACAGACAATAATAAATGTATATGAGGACGATGTCATTATAGTTGAATACTATATTTACTTACTTAAAAGTAGCAAATATACAGAAAGCGACGATAAGGGTCAGTAGAGAGACACCATAGCCGACCCTGGATACAGTCTTGACCAAAGGAACATATTGCTGGAACAATAGTATACAAAGTGTAAGAGAGGTTGTAATATTAAGCTTCATTTATGTTAAAGCATTTCTGTCAATCATGTATCACATTCCAAAATACTTTAAAAAATGTCAAACTTTACAGGTTGAGCTAGATTGTCCTACTTCTCTCATTTAAACTGACAACGCTAGAGAATATTGTGTTCAAGATGCCTGTTTGTTCAGCATTTTACGCTGCTAAATGTAAAATAAGCATTGTTTTTTACAAATTATACTTAAAATAGCGATGATTAAGGCTGGTGAAAGAGTAAGTTATATTTTTGGTTAATTCTATGAATTCAAATCCGTGTAGACAGAAGATAAGATCTATAATAATCAGTCTCGTCATAGTGTAAGAACTAAAGCATTAAGTAATAAGTAAAATAGTCAGAGTTGTATACAAATATTTGGAATATCAACGTTCTGACCATCTCTAGTCATACAAAATGAACTGTTTTATTACCTGTTTACAACTATTACGCCATTTATAAAGAAGTAATACGACATATAAATACATAGTATGTGTCAAGAGCGTGAGCGTATTTTCATAACCACAACCCTTTAGAAATGATAGGATGAATTTCAAAGGAATTTTAACTCAGTTTCCTTATAGATCGTACAAAGGTATTTGAGGATTAAGCTAGGGCATGCTCCACGCGCTTTGAAAGTGTCCCTGCTGTGTTTTTCTTTTTCATATCTTTACCGTCATAATAAGCTAAAATCATAATAAAGCCTACCACATGAATTAAAAAAAATATTTTACATACATATAAAACTTATATTAAATTAATTTCCAGATGTGGCCAATTAATCCCAATATAATGTTTAGTTCTAAGATTTTTGGTTGTCTTTTAATTTACCTTCAAAAGTAGGAATTCTTCCCGATTCTTCCCTGCCCAGCCTGTATATGAGATGACCTAAACTCTTGTTTGAATTTCAGTGAAAATAATCATTTAAAATATCGTTGTTTGAGTTTTTTATGTTTTGAGTGTTTTAAGTAGATTGATTGGCTTCAACAAAATATGGTTTCTGGATTAACGGATAAGAAGCATTGGTTTGTATTTGAATTATCATAAAACATGTGTGCAATGTATATAACTTCAATACTTACAGCCTGACCTTCTCAGGTGCCATAGCAAATTGTGGCCAATAGAGGTATTGATTTGTTTGAAAATAACATATTAGCTGGTAATAAAAATGGATCACTCTGAGCAGTTCGTGTAATGGTGTTAGATATGAAATAACGTACAGCAAATAAATTGATAAATTATAAAGCCACATTTGCAAACACTGATGTTCAACAATCAGATTGAACTCTATATTTGCTTTCGGTTATACAGGGTTAGTAAAAAGTGTGGAGACCCCCTGTTATTTTTTCAACGGTCCATACTAGAAAAACTAAACTCGGCACACCATTATGGCATGTTATGAAGTACTTTTTGGGCATAACCAACACTTGGCGTTCACCCCCAAAATGGGGGATTTTGGGGGAAACTCAAAAATTTCAAATACAAAGACCCATCGAGTGATCCCTCATTTTGTAGGTCCTGGTAAAAGAAAACCAACAACGCAAACTAGAGGTATCTATCTCATTTCAGTAAAAAATGGCAGCCATTTGAAATTCTCATAAGTTCCCAAACCCAAAATGGGGAATTTTGGGGGAAACTCAAAAATTTTTAATGATAAGCCCCATCGAGTGACCCCTCATTTAGAAGGTCATAATAAAAGAAAAGTAACAACGCAAACTATAGGTCTCTCTTAACACAGTAAAATATGGCAGCTAATTGAATATAAAATTGCTAGTTATTACTGATTTACAAAGATTTCAATCAGATTCAATTTTTTACTGGATTGAGATAGAAGCCTCTAGTTTGCGTTGTTAGTTTTCGTTTACCAGGACCTTCAAAATGAAGGGTCACTCGATGAAGCTTATCATTTAAAAATTTTGAGTTTCCCCCAAAATCCCCCATTTTGGGTTTGGTAAGCAAGTGGCTATTAGGCTTAAAAAGTACTTCATAACATGCCAAAAAGGTGTGTAGAGTTTAGTTTTCCTAGTGTGAGCCGCTACAAAATTTACAGTGGGTCTCCAGATTTGGAAAGCTGTAAGTTAAATTGAACTTCTGAGAATTTCAATTGGCTGCCATTTTTTACTGAAATGAGATAGATACCTCTAGTTTGCTTTGTTGGTTTTCTTTTACGAGGACCTTCAAAATGAGGGGTCACTCGATGGGTCTTTGTATTTGCAGTTTTTGAGTTTCCCCCAAAATCCCCCATTTTGGGGATGTACACCAAGTGACGGTTATGCCCAAAAAGTACTTCATAACATGTCATAAAGGTGTGCCGAGATTAGTTTTTCTAGTATGGGCCGTTAAAAAAATAACAGGGAGTCTCCACACTTTTTACTAACCCTGTATACATTCTTGTACTGTATTGCTGGGGGTTTTTAATTTGCTTTCAAAATTTTATTAGTATGGTCACAAAACATAGATTGTTTCTATCTATATATCAATATTGTATTATCATTACTGTATTCATCATATTACTGTACTTTATAATTAATTTATTAGTTAAACAATTATTATAGCGGTAAACCCATGACATTCATTTCGTAAGGGACTTACAGCAATTAAGGAAGAGTTTCTGAGCTCCGGGAAACGTATAACTACTTTGGTCATACGACTGGTGTAACACTGTGTGTAGTTGGTCCATGTAGCGTTGGTACCACTGTTGAAGAACCAATCTCCTGCCTCCGTGCAAACCTTGGTGGCGACCCTCTGTGACATAGAGTAATAGAGAATAACACAGTGTAACTATAGGATTGTGACTACTTTGGTCAAACGACTGGTGTAATACTGTGTGTAGTTGGTCCATGTAGCGTTGGAACCACTGTTGAAGAACCAATCTCCCGCCTCCGTGCAAACCTTGGTGGTGACTCTCTGTGACATAGAGTAATAGAGAATAACACAGTGTAACTATAGGATTGTGACTACTTTGGTCATACGACTGGTGTAATACTGTGTGTAGTTGGTCCATGTAGCGTTGGAACCACTGTTGAAGAACCAATCTCCCGCCTCCGTGCAAACCTTGGTGGCGACTCTCTGTGACATAGAGTAATAGAGAATAACACAGTGTAACTATAGGATTGTGACTACTTTGGTCAAACGACTGGTGTAATACTGTGTGTAGTTGGTCCATGTAGCGTTGGAACCACTGTTGAAGAACCAATCTCCCGCCTCCGTGCAAACCTTGGTGGTGACTCTCTGTGACATAGAGTAATAGAGAATAACACAGTGTAACTATAGGATTGTGACTACTTTGGTCATACGACTGGTGTAATACTGTGTGTAGTTGGTCCATGTAGCGTTGGAACCACTGTTGAAGAACCAATCTCCCGCCTCCGTGCAAACCTTGGTGGCGACTCTCTGTGACATAGAGTAATAGAGAATAACACAGTGTAACTATAGGATTGTGACTACTTTGGTCATACGACTGGTGTAACACTGTGTATAGTTGGTCCATGTAGCGTTGGAACCACTGTTGAAGAACCAATCTCCCGCCTCCGTGCAAACCTTGGTGGCGACTCTCTGTGACATAGAGTAATAGAGAATAACACAGTGTAACTATAGGATTGTGACTACTTTGGTCAAACGACTGGTGTAATACTGTGTGTAGTTGGTCCATGTAGCGTTGGAACCACTGTTGAAGAACCAATCTCCCGCCTCCGTGCAAACCTTGGTGGTGACTCTCTGTGACATAGAGTAATAGAGAATAACACAGTGTAACTATAGGATTGTGACTACTTTGGTCATACGACTGGTGTAACACTGTGTATAGTTGGTCCATGTAGCGTTGGTACCACTGTTGAAGAACCAATCTCCCGCCTCCGTGCAAACCTTGGTGGTGACTCTCTGTGACATAGAGTAATAGAGAATAACACAGTGTAACTATAGGATTGTGACTACTTTGGTCATACGACTGGTGTAACACTGTGTATAGTTGGTCCATGTAGCGTTGGTACCACTGTTGAAGAACCAATCTCCCGCCTCCGTGCAAACCTTGGTGGCGACTCTCTGTGACATAGAGTAATAGAGAATAACACAGTGTAACTATAGGATTGTGACTACTTTGGTCATACGACTGGTGTAACACTGTGTATAGTTGGTCCATGTAGCGTTGGTACCACTGTTGAAGAACCAATCTCCCGCCTCCGTGCAAACCTTGGTGGCGACTCTCTGTGACATAGAGTAATAGAGAATAACACAGTGTAACTATAGGATTGTGACTACTTTGGTCATACGACTGGTGTAACACTGTGTATAGTTGGTCCATGTAGCGTTGGAACCACTGTTGAAGAACCAATCTCCCGCCTCCGTGCAAACCTTGGTGGCGACTCTCTGTGACATAGAGTAATAGAGAATAACACAGTGTAACTATAGGATTGTGACTACTTTGGTCAAACGACTGGTGTAATACTGTGTGTAGTTGGTCCATGTAGCGTTGGAACCACTGTTGAAGAACCAATCTCCCGCCTCCGTGCAAACCTTGGTGGTGACTCTCTGTGACATAGAGTAATAGAGAATAACACAGTGTAACTATAGGATTGTGACTACTTTGGTCATACGACTGGTGTAACACTGTGTATAGTTGGTCCATGTAGCGTTGGTACCACTGTTGAAGAACCAATCTCCCGCCTCCGTGCAAACCTTGGTGGTGACTCTCTGTGACATAGAGTAATAGAGAATAACACAGTGTAACTATAGGATTGTGACTACTTTGGTCATACGACTGGTGTAACACTGTGTATAGTTGGTCCATGTAGCGTTGGTACCACTGTTGAAGAACCAATCTCCCGCCTCCGTGCAAACCTTGGTGGCGACTCTCTGTGACATAGAGTAATAGAGAATAACACAGTGTAACTATAGGATTGTGACTACTTTGGTCATACGACTGGTGTAACACTGTGTATAGTTGGTCCATGTAGCGTTGGTACCACTGTTGAAGAACCAATCTCCCGCCTCCGTGCAAACCTTGGTGGCGACTCTCTGTGACATAGAGTAACAGAGAATAGCACAGAGTAAGACGAACCATCAACTAAGTATGATTTTGTGGTAGTGTAAGACAGTATGCAGTCTGTATTTCTGGTAATGTATGCAGACAAAAAGTAACTGAGGAATTAAGAAGAACAAATGAAAATAAAGAATGTTTTTTAAAACCTGTATGTTTCTACCATAATTTCGAGACCTTCTGAGCTAGGTAGGTTATCCTTTACGGACATGAAGTAAACAACTAGATTAAAGTATTACAGATTGTTGAGCATTGTGGATGAATTAATTCTGAAGAGCGCTGTTGTTTACCGTTTCAGTATTCTTAAACATAATATGTTTTGGACACACCAGGATCGCGCCACTCGTCCTACACTCATCTCCACTCATACTTGGCTTAAAATACCCACTTTCTATGGTCGCAATTTCAATGAAAATTATTTAAGTATTAAAATACTATTTTCATATTAGTTATTATATGAAAACGAAATCATAATTTTCCCAGGGCTGTAAGTTAAATACTATATAGCTAGTTCAGTTGCATAAAATGTAAACACAATAACTAACGGGCAAAATGCTTTTGTAGATGTACATCCTCATTTCTTGGGCTACCAAGACAATATTTTATCATTTAAATTTCCTCTATATTGTAATTAAAGGTTTACGTTCTGTAGATTGTCGACTTACTACATCGTTATGTTTTAGTACTTTTTTCAGATAACAAATGAAATACTAATCCAATAATATTATATGAATTTTCTATTCCAGACAGTTTTTATTAGTTTTATAGTGTTTTATGATCTAGGTGTTACAACAAAGTATATTATTGAAGATGTTCACCTTAACGATTAGCATTACAATTATATTTATAAAAATGTTTCCAGTGGACCTTCTCTCAATTTAAGACAACAACTATCTCATTTTATTGACGTTATTGTCATCGTATTCGATAAAATACTTGACATTTTTGCGATTCATATGGGAATCCAGCAAACATATTGCTTGAATTCCATCGTTCTTATTGAAGCTGGTTAAATATGTTACTAGAAACATGAAAGGAAGCCACTCAACACTAAAACCTTTGCGCACTAGTCTGTTCAAAGGCTTTGATACAATCTGAGTAATTGTCCTTTTTCGTGGCATGTGAAAATCTGTCGGTGCAGCGAGTAAAATCTCATTATACTTTTTTTCATTTTCTACCGCTACAGTATTTTGTGTTGCATTTTGAAAACACGTTTGGTCAACTTAGCTTCTGAATAATCTTGCTAACCAGAATCTATGAGTGGTACTGAAACACATCAAATAGAAAAGAGTTACCTATAATATAGTTTCAAAGTGTTGTCTAAAATCATACAATGCATTCAACACAGATAAATTATTGACCATTCATATGGGAAAGAAAGAGATTTTGGGATTGGATCAGTTTTCTGTTTTTATATTATCATCTTGGATCAAAATTCAAAGTGATGTATTGTGTATAGTTATTAATATTCGTCGTCGATATACAAGGCACTGGTTTATATTGTAAGCAAAATAAACAATTGATGAAAGGGTAAAGTTCTTGAATAGTGATTTCATTTTTAATAGTATAATTTCTTTAGCTCTTCAAGTTTGGCATTTCAAAGCTAAAACCTAATTACGACGACGTTTATTTTACCATTGTGTATAATTATGTTTTTCTTATCAAATTCTTATGGATGTAGAAAAGAGTAGCACCTTATCAAGCTTAATAAAGAAAATTTATTTTTGTGTGTTTTAACATGAATCCAGTTTGCATAAAAGCACGGTTTGAAAGTAATGAGTAAGTGTGATTACAAACTTAAATGGAGAGAACTTACTTCTGCAACAAATAGAAAAGGGATTTCTAAATGTCCAATGGAATGAATCTTTTTACCATAAATTTCAAGGACTTTGTACACTTCAGTATTGCATAGGTTAGCAACTTTGATAGGCACTGTGTGTTACGAATGATGAGTACTGTATTGTATTGTAATCAACCTTCAACTTAATCTACAATGGAAACTCCATGTACAATTTCGAAACTTAAATTTATTAATTATAATACAAAACTGATAGTAAAGAAAAGAAAGGGGGTTCACAATAAATTGTACAAACAGTGGGAGATGAATTTACTTGAAAAATTTTAGGCTAGGCCTATTACAATGGTTTTAATTATTTAGGTTCAATGTTATAATTTACTGCAAGGATCTTTATCTCAGGTGGGGTGATCGAGCGGCATTTGAATTTAATCTTGTGATATAAGCCTAATTAAATTTTGTTTTAAAATATAAAATATGTTCGAATTATAGATTGGTTGAATTAATAATAGTTCTGAATAAGTTAAGCTTCTATTAGTTCTTGACTTTAAATTTAAGTATAAATGTCCAAAGGTTAGGCCTAAAAAAAAAGTGTTAATGGCTTCCAAAGGGGAAAATGTCTATTGGAGTAATCTCACCAAAATTGATGTCTTCTTTGATGTAAAGTTCTTGATGTTATAAATGATGAATGTTCGTAACAAGGATGGGTCTTCTTTCAACAAATTCCACTAATTTTGTCCGAATAATGTACTTTTTTTATAAAATTTTGATATTAAATATGGAGTATTCAGTTTACATCTGCATACTATCTTGGTTCTATTGGAAGTGATGATGGTCTGATGTATTGTTGCACTCACATATGTCAATGCTGACTTAATAATATAAAATTAAAGGTCACTGTTCACACATATATTATAACAAATTTCATTTGCTAGAGAGCTAAATTATAATTTTGAAAAGTTATTTAAATAAAATTATATAGAATTTGAAGCAATTTTGTTACAAAAGTTATAGGCTATTATATATTTACATGAAATTATGTTATTTGAAAATTTCTATATCGTATTGTATTAAATTGATTACCTATTGGTCTGCATGGACAATTAATTACTATATATGGTTTTAAAAGGGATTGACATTTAGATAAAATGAAAAACATATGGTGGAAATTAAATTATTCTATTAAAAAAAAATATTAGTGAAAATATTGAGTTGTTACAGTATATTAGAACAACGGTTGGATAATTTGGATACAGATTTTTGAGAGCGCATCAGCAAAAGGTTATGGCGAATGGTGTAGTGTTTGGTTTTTGCTGTTGTGGTTTGTTATATTGCTTCTTGATGTCTACGCCAGTGGAATTTTTACAGGAGAGTTAATAGGAGAGTTATACAGAGTATTCAAATAACGCGGTCCAAACCTACGGGTTGTGGATGTGCCGGAAATCCAACCCGTTCCTCCCATACATAAGTCTAGGGTGCTAACAAGGTGCCACAAGGCTAGCAATAGGTATAAATACTTCTAGATTTGATAGATTGGTAACTTGTGTGATTGTGAAACCTGAGCAATCGGTGAAACAAGGTTGGAAAACAGTTTAAGCATCTTATAGATGAGGGCACGGTCGAGATACTTCACGTTGAGAAGGTTAAAGAAGTATGTGAGATGTGGTTTATTTATTTATTTATTTATTTATTCCAACGGTTTCTCCATTAATACAATTTTGTCAAACTATGAACTATACATAAGTAGCAAATAATAAGTTAATAATAGTGGTTTCAAAAATCGTGCAATAATAATAAATAAGGAAGCTGGCAATAAATACATGAGTGAGACCTAAAAACTACAATAAATAACAACAAGAAGACTATGCCTAGTAATAATGGTAACAAGTAACAAGCAGTAATGACGGTAACTTTACAGCAGGCAATAACAACCAACGATTAAATAAGACCAACAAAATAGACTATGGCAACAAAGATAACAAATTATAAACTGTGAAAATAATAACAAAAGACAGCAAAATATTACAGAAGTACTAAAAAAGTATAATTTGTGGGAGTGTGTGTGTATGTGCAAAAATCGTGCAATAATAATAAATAAGGAAGCTGGCAATAAATACATGAGTGGGACCTGAAAACTACAATAAATAACAACAAGAAGACTATGCCTAGTAATAATGGTAACAAGTAACAAGCAGTAATGACGGTAACTTTACAACAGGCAATAACAACAACGATTAAATAAGACCAACAAAATAGACTATGGCAACAAAGATAACAAATTATAAACTGTGAAAATAATAACAAAAGACAGTAAAATATTACAAAAGTAATAACAAAAGTATAATTTGTGGGAGTATGTGTGTGTGTGTGCATGCATGACATGGGAAGAACACTGTGTCAAACACCAAACACCATGCTAAAAAGCACCAACTTTCATTTGTGGCCCTTTAAAGGCACCACCTATATTGCACTGCACCTTGCTGAGGTAACACCAGCCTCAAAACAGAACTAAGGTGTGGCCCTTTAAAGGCACCACCTAAACAAGAACTACACATCACTTGTTCCCACAGGAGGGCAGGAAAATGCTTCTAAGATGTTCTCCCTTGTAAATATCTTGAGGCGTCTGTCTTGAATGAGGAAGAAGAAATCCCGAAGAAGTCAATGTGAGTCGAAGCCTCTCCACCCATCCTCAGCAACCTTGACAACCCATGATGGTAGGAGTAATTCCTTGCTTGGAATCCTCTGGCAAATAACGTTTTGGATCTGGTTCCTTTAGGGGCAGAGAATTCTATATTATTCAGAAAAGATGTGCAGTCGATGATACCATTCACGAGTTTGAAGAGAAACTGCAGGTCGTAACATTTCCTTCTCAGACTGAGTGGTTGCAGATCATAGTATTTCTCCAGGGTGATAATAGGAACATCCTGAAAGTGGTACCCCAGTCTAAGACCAATCAGTCTAATAAATCTTCTTTGTATCTTATCTAGTATATCGATGTGCAAAGACTGATAAGGAGACCAGACAACAGAGCAGTATTCCGTCAGACGTAGACGCAGAGTGGTATGGAGTTGGTGACGTAGGCATCTATGTTCCTGTTCCAGAGAGCAGGTGGTATGCTAGTTGTAATGCTCACCTTGCGGCTGCTTATTAGCTTTAGATGTTATGGTATGGGGTGTCAGTAAGGGTGGATGGGTAAGTAAGGTCAGGACGATTGAAGAGGTGCAGAGGGGGGAATATAGTCTCTCAAGGGTTGAGGTGGAACAAAGATGACGTTTGTTGAAGGCACAGAGACACTTACTAGATCGAGGTAGCTAGCTCGTTTCTTGGGTCTTGAAACTCAGGGTACAACGAACGATAGGTTTGAGTCAAGTTCTGGTTTTAGGAAGGTGCAGGTCTTTTTCATGGTCATGAGGAAGTTACGTAGATGAGTTCGGACTTAAATATTACCTTATTCACCATTAGTAAAATGTCTAATCCAAAGCAATTATAAGCTATATTAGTAATTGTTCGTGCAAATATTGAACCCTGTTTTTTAAAAGTATTTTTTACAATCACATATGTGTAGCATAATCGAACTTTCAGCTATGGTTTGCTCATTGTATATGTGAATATTATTAGTTACCTGGGGGTTGAAGCCGACGATGTACGATGGACATGGGAGGGTAATGACAGTCCCAGGTCTAGCTGGGGGCCAACACAACATCCCGTCCCACACCCGGGGACAGTGTTCAGCTGTAGAATAGAATACAGTTTACTCCCTTACATACCAAGCGTACGTTATGGAACATGTTTTGCAGGTGCAATATTGTGTTTAGGTCAAGACTTACAATAGAACTAATACTAATCGAGAGCTCACTGAACTTGAGATTTGAGATTGAGGCTTGAGACTTAAACTCATTTTTTATAAGCATTCAACTTGCTGTGAAAAAACGCTAAATATGTTTCAAAATTCAGTATAATACTAGAAATAATAAACCAATCATTAAAGAAACAATATTTAATATTCAAACTTACTGACACAGAAAACATATTTACTTGCCACTAACTACCTAGAACTAACTATTACGGTGTTTTTGTTTTTGTAATTTAATAAATTCATTCTCAAAATACAGTATATTTCGGTGACACAAACTGATAAAATGAAATATGTCTTCCAACGTTACTCAAGATGTTCATTTTCCTCGAACCATTCTTATATGCAGAGACAATTTTTTTATTATTTTTGTAACTTCTAACAAATCAAAAAGTTTGTATGTTGGTAATTGGTAACAAGTTGGAAGCGTATTAAAAGAAACTTTATCATACAAAAATATAAAAAAAACATTGAATAGTTAGTGTTAAGGATATGAACAAAGTATTAATAAACCAATCCAGTCTTTATTTTTAAATAATAATAATGCAGAAACTAATAATAAAAAAAATTATTCTTCAGTACCTAAATGATTTTTAGTGACAGTCACCACTAAGTAATAACTGGTCAAAATCGGTGAATAATGTCAACTATTTCATTTATGTTTTTTTTTTAATATTTTTTCATACTAGCTACGCCTGATGCATTTTTAAAGTAGGAGGAATTCGAGTTAAACGATGATTTTCGGGAAAGCTGTCAAGATATTGGGTTTGATACCAAATGTCTTATAATGAGTTTTCTCCCTTATCAATGAACAGATATTCCAAAGTTTGGTCTGCACTAAAAAATCTCCAAAACAATTGTCTAAATAAAACATTCATACGGTAGTTCTTTTGCCTATGTAATTTGTGTAGTATTAAAGCTTGAATATTTTGAATGGCTGCCATTTTTAATCCGAATACTGTCTTAAAATTCCAAAAAAATCTGCCTCTGTGTTATTTATCTACATAAAAAAATAAATTCATTACAAAATGTCATTATCAATTAAAAATTTTATTTATAAACAAAAAGGCGCCTCTACTGATACTTTTAATTTGTTTAAATAGTTAATGTAATATTTAAGTTTGTGTGTGGTTCAAGAATGATTCCTTAAATGTCGGTAGAGAGGTAATATACACCCTTTATAATAGTTTTGTAAACTATAACAATATAAGTATAAACTACTCGATTTTACCGAGTATTGTTGCTTGTTAGACTTCTTATTATCCAGTGATTTAATAGTTTTACAGTAGCCCTTAAACTTTCCAAAAACTACAATTAAATTTGTAATCTCCCTATTTACACATGAAATACCCTACATATTTACACAAACCAAACCAAAACCAACATTTTACTTTTGAGCAAACGCTTATTTATTTATTAGGAAATAAGTATTGTTAGTTTTATCTTTGGATATTATTTGTATTACTTAAAATTAAAGGAATGCCTTATCAGTTTAAAATATACACAACCCACCAGAGCCAGTAGAGTTGTGTATTCGCAGGAGACAATCCTGTTTCCTTTGCTGTACGTAGACATCCTGCTCGCTGCCATCGGGGTATCCTGGCTCCTGGAATATAAACAGACTTGTCTTCCCAGAGACAATTCATGGCAATAATGGTATGTAACATACTAAATGAAGAGTACATTTTTATACATGCAATATGTTAGTAGCCTACTTTTTATTCGGGGATTTAAAAAATAATCATTTTACGCATGTTTAACATTTCATTGCAATACAGATAACTGTGAGCTGAATACTAGATGCTTATATAAGAGTATAACACTGCCATAGTGTATTTAAATGCTAGTGTTGTAAATTTGTATAGTAAGAGGAAAAGCTTATTGCATGTGTATGAAAAAGAGCTTAGTTGTAGGAACACCGAAAGACCAGGTTTAAGTATCTTGCTGAGGAACATTTGAATATTTGTACTAAGATTATATTTACTTAACCGTTGGCATTTGTTTGCTTTTAGATATGTAAGATGTTTCTTTCTCAAATACCCTTCAGAAATACACAATTTATATATTTGGATATAAATTTAGGGATTTATTACAGTTCACTGTAGTTTAACTAGTAATCAACCTTAAAAAGGTGTGGTTATAATTCATCATCTTAATAATAAGCAGTGATCATGTTCTAGTTAATTTATGTATATCATTTAAATAATTATTAGCGTTTAAAATATTTAGAAATTCTGAGAAATAAAGGTCTATATTTTATGCGTAAAAATTACCACATTAACTTTCTATAGGCCTATCGTTGGCTTGGTTATTATATAAAATTTTTAGATTTAAAAATGAATTTTATACATCGTATTTAATAAAATAAAATATTTCACTAAGATGTTTTAGCAAAACCCGTTTCTGGTATGTGAAATGCGAGGATTTTCTTGCGTCAGTGACGAAAATGTATTACCTTGTTTTTGTCTGGTTAGCCTTGACAAATACTAGGAATTCTGTCCATTTTCATCTTACACTGTGTACCTTTTATTATTCCATTATTTTTTATTTTATTATTTATTATTCTCCATGTTGAGCAGTTATGCGCTTTAAAAATTATCATTTGTTGTTAAAACAATGTATGAATTCCTTGCAAAAAATATTTGTTTGCTGATTTAACAAACAATACCAACTACTAAATTCATCATCCATGAACCTCTTACTATTGTACTATAGTGATTAGACAAATGTAGATCAGGAATTCTTTAGAGGCCATGTAAGAATGAGCCATGAGGTCCTAACTTCAACTAAGCAGGATTTTCATGTGAAAGGCGTGTCACTTTGAACATGATGTTCTTTTAACATTGTAAATTGTAATAAAACGCTAAAAAGATTTCTGAAATAGACTTTGCCTTGATTCAGTGAAATTGTAATTAAATAATCAAAATATTTTCTTTTTTTCTTTTATTGAACTGACCTTACTTAGATTATTTAAAGTTTCATATTTTATAGTACCCATCCAAGAAAATAACTACAATTTATTTTGAACACAGTTAAGTCCTTTTAAATTAAATTTTCCAACTCTTAGCAGAAAACACATTTCTTTCGCGCTTGCTTGTCAAAGGTTAATCTGTTTCTGTAAATCCAAGTATTTACCTACCATGGCTATTGAAGTTTTATCTGATTGCTTTCGCCATCTGCAACAAAAAGTAAATGTGATTAGAATAAGCCATTGTGGTATTTATATAACTAAAGTTATACAATATTATACAGCTATCGGTTGGGTAACGTCACATTTTACGCCATTTTAGGTATAAATAAATATGAACTACCCTTATATTTTTATATCAGCCTTTATATTAGCAATTCCATTTAATACTTTAACATTGGGCCAAAATATTTCCATTTACCATTAATTACCCAATCCTCACACGAATCAAAAAGAATACCTAAATGAAAACTATATATATATATATATATATATATATTATTTAACCACCAATGAATCAAATCTAAACAATACAATACGAATCAAAGTTAACTTATTCCAGGGAAAATTAAGTCCACTTGCTGTGTTGAATACTTTGAATGCACTCAGCAATTCAATGAAGTTTGAATTTCTTTCCATTCAATAAAATAAAAATCTACAATACAGTGAAATCGTCTACAGTTTTATCAGTAAGCAGAAATTTTATTTTACTGTCATGTAAAAATTACCGATTTAGAGTTGCAGTGTAATAGTTGTATGAATATTAGAGAATACCACATTATATAACAAGCTATCATAGTAATGACTGTATTTATAATCTAAGTTAAAAATGAAATTCACATTTATTAATTGCGTTAATAAATCCTAAATTAAAATAAATTTCAAAATATGTTTATAAATGTGAATAGGTATGTTTTGTGCATGAACCTTTTGCGGTGTTTACTTGAATTGGTTTGCTTATCATATTTTCTATATTCCTTTAGTATTTTCATTTATCACGTTGTTGTGGAATAGAAAAGTAGTAGTATTTATGTAGCTTATGGTCATACCACATTTGAACCTTCAACTACCGATACAGTACATAGTTCCACGAACTCCATGTTCAATTGATATTGAGCTTAGTCTATTATGTTTGTCTCTAAACACTATTTTGTATGTTACTGTATACAATGTTTCCTACAATGTTTACTGTACTGTTAACAATGTTTATTTCAGAACACAGATAAAATAAAATCTAGTCCCAAAAATGTTATCCCACTTACTTTATGATTCCTTACTCACTAATGAAACTCGCAAATTTATTAATACCATAATTATCTATGGTACCATAATTTATAGCGACAATGGCGGTGGTTGTACCGTGGAACGTCTGTCCTACAGGCCTCGTCCGGTCTCAATACCAACCATCACTTATAACGTAAAATTAAGTGATATTGCCATGGTATAATATGTTGGGTTTGGAGCCCACTTTAAGCTATACTACTATTAAGTTCAACGAAGACTCTTGGGGGATCAAGCCGTCATCGCAACTTGCAACTTATTATCCATACTAGTGTACATGTTGCTCGAATTCGAGCAATTGGAAAGTATTACAGGAGTTATTTCAAAACGAACAACAGTCATATTTACAATGAGTTTAAAAGAGTCGACTCAAAGATTACCGGAGTGTAACTCAGACCATGTTTATCTTCGTTATTCATAAACCTAAAGCATTCCAGCCGGTTTTCTCCTTCTCAAAATGCCTCGCTGTACAGGCAACACAGGTCAGTGAGGGCCAATTGAGAACGAAAAGTCATTTTGGGGTTGTGTTAGGGCGCATTTGTAACTTAATAGTTGAGATTGTCCAGGGTCAGGTGCTGACTGTGATGAGTTAAGCCTATTACGCGCCACTGTTCTGTAGCTGCGGTCGTTATCACGGTTACGCCTCCTGTCTATGTTTCGTTGTCGTCGCGTCGGGGGCATTTAAAAGAAAAACAACAAATAAACAAATTATAGCTACACAAAACAACGATAAACGCACAAATTTAAGATACAACCATACTAACACGATCCGTCTTGGGGTTATGTTTACACAAACTCAAATAGTAAATAAATGTACTCAATGCGTTTCATTGAATTGCAAAATAAATAACAGCAATTAAATTATACAGCTGATCAAAATGTAAACAATTATGTTCTCCATAAGGATAACACGGGAACTTTCAAAGCCACTGGGGCAGAGCCCAAGGGGTGTTTTCAAAAATGTAAGGCCAGTTTGCAAATCTAAGCGACACGCTCTTTCCAATGAGACGTCAATGGATAAAATCGGTTAAGAAATGGCGGAGGAGTTCAACCGACAAAGTTTCATGTAGCGTATTAATTATATAGATACTACTATAGGCTAGTGCATTTGATTTGGCTTAGAGTTTACAGAATTGACAATTTTAGTTTTAAATAATTAAATACCAAAAATTAAAATTAAGGAATTATATCTTGTAAGCAGTACCTAACATTTACACATTTGTACGACATATTCCGGTACAGTTTAACTGAAGCAGATGACACGACTACTTCCTTTTTAAAATTCAAATAATTGCCAGGCCAAGTTCAAGATAACAATATTAATAATTCATTTCACATGGTTGATCAAATTGTGGTACTGTACCTAGTATATTTAGTTTTGATGTAAATCCAATTAATTTTTATAATCTGTTTATTATTCTAAATTAATGTAAATGTGATATTGAATTTTTGCTGGAAATTAAAAATATGTTTGGCAGGTAATCGATTACAATTCATTTTCTAACTATTTAAAAAATGTTCATGGCTATGAAATAATTTGGTTTGCCTTTGTAATATAATATACTGTTCCTTAATATGATATTCCTTGCAACAAAATCTCGTAAGGTTTCATATAAGAGCAGGTGGGTTGTGTGCTTTCTTACATTATCTAAGCTTTTACCTAACCTAATATTATTACACCCAAGTCTCTTATAATATTCGTGAAATTGCATGAACATTTCTTTTTAATATCGAAGCGTTTTGTCGCTAAATGGTAATTTTCCATTATATATTTAAAGACAATTTCAAATCATGTCGAAGAATTGAAAAATGTCAATTACGGTTGTTTTAAGTTTAAATCGATTTATTAAATTAAAATCCACGTTTTATCTTCTGAGCTGTATATAATACTGGTACAACGAAATAATTGGAATGCCTTTCTCAAAACTCAATTTGCGGCAATGTCTACCGGTGTGAATGTACAGTGTGTGCGACAAACCTGTTTGATTTTGTACATTTTCTTACGTGTTATGTGTTTTGACTTCAACGAATTAGCTTTAGACTAAATATTCATGTGTCAGATGATGGCATTATAATGTCAATACGACCGTTATAACATAGGACTACAGTTATAAATTGTGATCTGTATTGACGAAGGTAAAACATATTAAAAAAAGCTTTTTAAACTACAAACAAGATTATGTATTGAAGTGGTTTTGTTGGAGGCTGAACATTTCACGATTTCCGAAAGCAGCGATGTTTTATTTAAGTACGTCTCTCTTTTGTCAGGTTTTATCATTGCAGTAAAATAGTTATTGTAATGTCTGTCATATCTGGTAATCAGCGCTTCCAGTTAAAAATAATTTGTCTATAAGCACTATATTTAGATTCTACCTTGAGACAAATTTGTTTAATTTAGGTTTAATGATCTAGTATATTTTATATGTGTTCGAAAGTCTTAAGACATTAATTATACCTAAAGCACAAAGGATAATGATTTAACTAATATAAATATAACAATCTGAAACTTATTTAGCTAAAAAAATCAGAATTGGGTTTCAGGGTCAGTTTTCTTATCTGAAGAACAGTGGTTTAAGATTCGATTGCAGATATAAGATAGGTCTGCTGTAAACATTTATCACAATTTGACAGTAGGCCGGACCAGTTTACACTAACTTAAAAGCATAAATAATAAGCTTGATATATTGAACAGGTTAAATAACTTTATTATCCGCTACTTCCCCTACTAATAATGGTAATAAGTTTAAGCTTTTCTCCGATTTAAATATTTGGGAAAATCTGCTTTCTAATATTTTCTGTAACAAAACACCGAATCTATACTGGATGCTTTGACATCGACAATCCCTTGTTGACTATTAACTCTATGTCAATATCACACGAAGCCACGAACATTTTATTAATTCTATCAATGTAAAACATAGTTTAATTCAAACATATTTACATATTAAAACCGTCAAACGAATGTGAAAAGTATCAATCCCAACCTAAACCTCCTAAATAATTCACCTACTCAATAATGTGGAAATCCACGTGTCGTTGCCGTTGACATTTTATCCATGGTAATAGAGATTGGCTTTAAAATATGTTGTTGCTAAAATTATTACAACACAAGTAATATAGTGTTTCTACAGTTATATTCCTTCCATTATTAATTGTTGTTAACACATTATTTAATTTAAAGGAGTTATTCCATGGAGCTGTACGAAACAAAAAACATTTAAATAAAGTTTATAAATAAAAGTTTAACACTTTAAAGCTTCTACCACTGATCCATATAAAAATGCTTTTCATTAACCTTGAGTAGTCTAAGTTTGACGAAAACTTAACCCAATTTAAGAGCTTGAAGGCTTGAAGTTTGATACACATTTCCTTACTTTAACTTGATTTTAAACTTCATTGAGGAGGTACGGCTTTTAATTAACCTAATTTTCCTGTAGTTGTAACTAGTTAGTTGTTTAGTTTGTTCTACTTTTTACAGTTTGACCTGTCCCGCCCATGCATCACTTTACCATACGTTGGGATAGGATATTTCTGGACAAACTCTTTACTCTTTGTTATTGTTTGTATTCATTTTGTCAACGCAAGAATTATTTGGATTGGTTATAATAAGGAGCATGTGTACAGCATTTCCGTGTGAAATACAACATAACAAAATATAAATAATAAATAAATGTTTCAATCATTGGACATATAACACATCACTAAGCCCTAGTCGAATTTATTTAAATCCGTGTATGATTCCAAAAGCAATTCCAAGAAATTTAGATTCTTTGGAAATTCAAATAAAAAAAAAAAACATTAACTTAAACAATTTCAAGAGTTTTTGTGGAAGCTATTAACTTAGGTCGGTTCTACCCCCGGAGTAGGCTGATCTAGTGGTAGAGAGCAGGGGATCGGTCCTTGATGTCCAGAGATCAAACCCACGCG